GGTTTGATAGTGACATAAATTGATCAATTGATTGTCAAGATACTTTACAATACCTGAAATCATTTATTAGTCATATAAAGATCTTTACTGGTAGTGATCAATGTATTGATTATATATCAAAATGTCCAACATGTGAAAAAGTTCATCTTATTGTTTCGGGTTTGCTATGTAAAAATATTATCACTTCTACAATAATTGATCCATCAAGGAATGTCACTATTTACATTTATTGCAAAAATGTTTCTAAATATCAGAATCTGTTCGAATCCTGTGCAAAGCTTCAAGGTATTTTCCAGGATAAAAACTCACTCCTCACATCTCTGATTCAAGGTATAAACGAGCGACTTGATTGAACAATTATAAATATATTTAATCCATATTTAAAGCAAGATAGTCGAAGAAACTTAGATAAAGATAGTGCAACAGTCGTATGGTTCCAGTTACTAATTGATATTCTTCTACGTACATTGCAAACAGAAGAATCAAAACTTGAAATGTTAAATATGAGTCGTACCTATTACAAAGATAACCAAGCAGTTCTTGCACAGATTAACGAATTCGAACAATCATATTGTTCATCAACATCAATTACATGGTATACAAAGAACACATTTTTATTTCGTATGTTGAATCAAGTATTGCGCCAAGAAAATGTTACCGGTATTTTTCAATTACGATATTTTATCAAAGACTTATATCTGCAATTAAGAGAATTACATTCTCAATATATAAAATCATTGTCGCAAAAAACCAAAATACTAACTGTTTATCGTGGACAGACAATTACAATTAATCAATTACAACAATTAAAAGAAAATATAAGTAGTATCATATATGTAAACACATTTTTATCTACAACAACTGATAAAGAAGTCGCTTTAATCTATGCAGGTGTTGAGGGATCTTATCTGGTATCTGTTCTTTTTGAAATTAATATCGATACAAGTATTGCTACAAAACCATTCGCTAATATAGAGGACTACAGTTATCACAAAGATGAAAATGAAATTTTATTTGCACTTGGAACAATGTATAAAATAGTATCAGTTAGTAAGTTTGAAAATGGTCATATTTGGATTATTAAACTATCATATGATAATGATGTTTACCTGCAAACAAGAATATTAACAAGACATTTAACAAGAAACATGCATGAACCAATAATTGTTTGTAATTCATCCACAATTAATCAGAAGTCTTTCGGAGATCTTAATAATGAATCTACAATATTTATGTGGAATTATTTGCTTTTGAAGATAATATTACAGATGGAGAATGATCAAAATGCGAAAACTGATATGATTAACGTTTGTCGTCATTTTTATAAAAATGATAAAATTGTACAATGAAGTATTGATGATTTTGAAGTTAATTATAAATCGGAAAAAGTTATATGGTGGTACACTACAGAATCATATGTTTATCATTTAATAAATAAATCACTGCGGTCACAGAATATTGATAATATATATAAACTTCGTTTTTTTATAGTTGATTTGCATAATCAGTTGCAAAAATTATATTCTCAAACTCGATTCTCGAATAGCACTCAACAAATATTAACTGTTTATCGTGGCCAAGGTATGTCAGTTGAAGAGTTACAGAATTTAAGAGATAATATCAAAGGCCTTATTTCTGTTCATTCATTTCTATCATGTTCAAAAAATCGGAATACAGCATTAATTTATTCATTAAATCGTTCTGGACGTCCATCAGCTGAACCTGTGCTTTTCGAAATTGACATCGATACGAGTATTGATACAAAACTGTATGCTGATATCGGACAATACAGTAGTTATCAAACAGAAAATGAAATTCTCTTTACAGTAGGTACAATATTTGAAATTATAGAGGTTAAAAGACAGATGGATGTTGGATTTTGGATCATTAAACTGTTGTTAAGTAAACAAATTGATGAAGATATGAAAGAATTAACAGCGTATTTTGAAAACGAAATTGGTAAAAACCCCACCCTTCTTACGTTAGCTGAATATTTAACACGTATGGGTGACTATGACACAGCAAGAGGGTATTATATGATACTTCTTGATAAGGTAAAATTATTGGGCAATAAGTCCGATATTGCAAAACTTTATAATCAGGTTGGTCAACTTTATTATTTAACCGGTGATTATAAAAGAGCCTTGAAGTACTACGAGAAAGCAATAAACATTAGCACTATTGATTATCGGAATTTAGGAGTAACACATGATAATATAGGTATGGTTAATGGTGCCATGGGAAAGTATGAAGAAGCGTTAAATCACTACGTTAAGTCATTAGATATATGGAAAAAAATTTTACCACCTAATCATCCACAAATTGGTAATCAGTATAACAGAATCGGACAGACACATAATCAACGAGGAGACTATGATATTGCATTAGAAAACTATAAAAATGCTCTTGAAATTCAAATGGTTGCGTTGCCACCGAACCACCCAAATTTGGCAGAATCTTTTATTAATATTGATCTTGTCTATTTTGGTAAAAAAGAATATATATCAGCTTTAAGTTATCATGAAAAAGCGCTCGCAATTCAGTCAAAATCGTTACCTTCGGATCATCCAGATATCGGCTCGAACTATAATAATATAGGACGTGATCATTATTGTCTTGGCAATTTCACGAAAGCAACGCATTATTATGGGAAAGCTCTAAACGTTTTTCTGAAGGCTTTACCTCCTTTTCATCCATCAATTGCACTCATTTATCAAAATATTGGAAAATTGTATTATAAAACCAAGGATTATAAGCAGTCATTAGAGAATTACAAAAAGGCAATGAGAATTCAGGAGACCACCTTACCTGCCCAACATCCGGATACAAATAGAACTCATAAGTATCTAAAAGAACTTTCACGACTAGTCAAAGATTCTACGTCTAGTCAGGATGATGAAGAGTTAAATAATATTTCAAACGATATCAAGATGGTGAATATAAATGAACATCAAAATACATTAGAAATGCAATATCAACAAACGATTACTCATGGCACAAAACTATTGGATGCAGATAGAGATAATCAGTTGTTATTAAATGTATGCAAATCAAATATTGATGATTTAAATAACACAAGGAGCAAACGTATAAAACATCGATTCTTTTCTAGTAAATCTAAGAAAAAGTAATAAAATACTTTTAATGGATTAAAGAAATATCGTATTCGTGGCATGTCCTAGCAGTAAATATACTTTCAACTAAAGAGACGATCGCCTGTAAGTAGAGAAGCATGATTTATAATCCGTTCGGACGTAATATTCCGATCAGAATATAAAGCCTCGATAAAAAATGATAAATACTGTTAGTGTAGAAACTAACAACTCGGTTAGAAACAGCGCCAAAAAGTATGTTGACTTCAGTATTCCAGTACGTTGTGTCTTCACGCATTGTCCATCAGTATTACCAAACAAGATCCTCTGGGAAACCTCCAAAAATCCTGAAAATGTCTTCATTGAATTGAGCGAGCATTCAGTTTTATCTAATGACGATGTTCGGGTTGAAAATTGAAAGTTTTATGGAGAAATGATCTTCTCGTTTGGGTTAGATCTTTTTGCAATATATACCCTGTGTATAGCCGATGTATAGATTGTATACGGGTGATTCCAGCCAAAAGTCACGTGCACAACGACATGTTTCTGTTTTCCTACAGTTCTAAAAGCACCTGTGATACTGCCTGGTATTTTAGCAGCATAATTAGACACTGATTATCTATCTGTGGAAACAGAAAAGTCAGTAGCTGGAACACTGTTGAAGTCACATTATGTACAAGGATCACTTATGCAACGCTGCAATGGTCCATATATCATTTTTCGTTGACTTATATAGGTAAATGCTGTGGGATGCGGTTTTCATGATATACTTTGTGCTCCACTTAATGAATCTTTTATTTCTTCCTTTTTTCTTCGTAGCTCTATTATTACATTACATACCCAGCATTTTCAGAAGCAGAAGCTGTATTTTCTGGTGAGGATGTGGTATCTAGTTGTCGCTGCTTTTCTAATAATCGAAATGGCGAGAATAACCATTTAAATGCGTCTAACAATTTTCTTGTCGCGAAACAATCCTATGTTGTAAACATAATAGAATATTTCATTTGCATTTGATCAGAGCCTTTCTTCAGTATTCATCAAAAATAATTCATCAAGAACAATCTGTAGCAGATATATTGCTGATAAACGTCTCTGTGGCGGCAAAATATTGTTTGACAATTTTAGATCTTATAAAACTGGTGACAATCTGTTTTTTGCTGTTATTTCATACTTTTTTCTCAACGTGAAGCGCATTATTCGCATATGGAGACATAGTACGATAGGGGCTCTGATTTGATTTTGGTAATAGATTTAAACAATTCTGTCGAATTTCGAATTGGAGCCACCGAATTTTGACATAACTGATATATTGTACATTAGAGAGATTTTATCCTTTTTTTGTTAGAGAGAGAAAGAGCAAAGTGACTATTATCGAAATTTAAAAAGAAGGCCGGTGAGCAAAATGATTGTCACTTTTGATAGAAGATAGATAGAGAGCTGCGGTTTTCACCATTCGAAAGAGGAGATCAGGGGATGTAAATCTATGGAAAAATCAGGTTTACCATGGTGTACCATTCGAGGCAAAACCCGAGAGCTTACCGTTCCAAAACCACACTATGAAATCCAATCTCAAATAATATCAGTAGATGGTCAAAACATTTCTCTTCAAAACTACGCAAGACCCAGATCTTCATTTCCTTTGGTTCCGGAGGCATAGACGTTTTCCGAGGACACACCTATCTCATTTCAGACACGTCTGGGAATCTCAGAAACGTGTGGATCATTTCGATCAAAAATATATAAAGGTATTTGATCGGGAATGTTTCTCGAAGGCCACAAAAATCTTAGAATAAGAGGCATCGGGAAACTGTTCGGCAACCTTTTCGAATTTAGAAAAAACTTCGCTCAATAAGAAAGTTTACCTTTTTATTTGTTTTACTCCGAGTTTTATAATGTTGGATTGCTGCACAAAAACGAAATTTTCTTCATGTTTTATAACGGTCGAAATGAACGCTTTTATAGCATCCTATTTTACCACGATTTTTCATCGCCGTCGATCGCAGTCGAAAAAAGAGATTCTAGTCCTAGAGAGAAGTTGCTGGAAACTATATACTTTACATGGAAAAGAAAGCTTATTGAGTCCTCTACCAAACGAAATTATATGGAATAGAACACAGCCGCTCTGTGAGCTATGGAGACAAAAGGTTGTTTTCGCGTTGTAAACGCCAAATTGAGTTTTTAATCAACGTGTCTTCTGTTCAGTCTTTTGTACTCAAGGCCAACGTTTTTAATATCATACGAAGCCTTCATTGTATTGAACAACTTCAAATATATGGTGCTTGAAAACATAGAAAATGGGTGATGAAAAAGGTCAAACAAATATATCTGAATACAAAAACTGTGACCGAAGTTGCGGAAGAGTTTCCTAATGCCTTTTGTTCTAAGATTTTCGTGACCTTCAGAAAACATTCCCGATCAAATACTTTTATATATTTTTGTACTAGACACTTTGCACTTTCTAACAGAAAAAGAATAATATCTCTCTGATGCACCATTGCAACGCTGTATCAAAAACAAAATTAATGCAGAACTTTTGCACCGCCCGTTAGTCTTAAATTCGGACTCTGGGGCTTGCATGATTTTTAATTTTGGAGTTTACATAGTCTCACCTTCTTGTCGGAAAATGCTGTGGTTTACTGAAGTCAGTTGTAGAAAACACTTTAGAACATCATTCTAGATGATAAAAAACTTGTGTATCAGCAGCGAAGAATTATAATAATGATTTATGCTTCCTACATGATTTTTTTAAACAAAAGTAAGGAGTACATGGAGATTCGCTGCTCGGACTCACTTAGTATTACAAGTCTAAGACACTATAAGATCTGACTATGGTTGTATCGTAGTAGTACTGCACAAATACTAGAGAATTTCAAGCGTTCCTATTCTACACTTTAGACGCTTATAGCACTAAAAGATTATAAAAAAACAGTCGAAAGTCAGTTAAAATATTTGAGCCGTTTCATCGATTGGTAGAAGGTTCTTTGAACAATATTATAGAAATTTATCCTGCCGAACAAAAATTACACAAAAGCGTTAGGGATGCTAATGATAAACCAGATTTAGTAACAAACATACTCTCTATGACTGTCTCCTGATAGTTTCCTGGAAAGACGCGAGTGAACCTTGATGTTCGGTTTCACATATCAAAATTTGATGATTTTTTTCTAGAGAAGCGGTATTTGAGATTTTTACATATTCGGAATCAGCGCGATGAGTTACGTTGTAAACTCCAAAATTAA